AGGAGTGAATGTCACCGCATATGTAGGAGAAATGGCAGAAATGTTGTGGAAATCAACCTATAAGGCCCTGTTCAGAGATGTCCGCTTGCGCGAAAAAACGCATAGGCGAAACAATGTGAAATATGTATCGACTGAACGAAGACGCACAGGCGAATCGTGAAGTGGGAGGATCGACGAAAATGAGTATCATACGCATCGACTTACGAACGCTTCGCTCACGCGATTTTCCGCCTGTGCGTTTCTCACAGTCGATACATATCAAACTCTTGACTGAAATTCGCCTGCTCCGGACGTTTCGCTTAGGCCGCGTTCATAGTTCGCGACTCCGGAGATTAGGATAGTACGCGACAATGAAAAACATATGTATTGACGGGGAGATTAGGATAGTAGTAGATTAGGATAGTGCGCTGACAAGATTAGATATGTATTGATCTATTCGCTTGAAGTCGCCCAATCTACTACTCTCCAGCGATTTCAATCGATACGTATCCAATCTTGTCAGCGCAACTCTACTACTATCCTAATATCCTGTCGCCTACTATCCTAATCTCCCGAGGGGGGATTAGGATTAGGGCCGCGGCCTTACGCGTTCCCCAATTTATCAATCGATGGTCATCTAAATCCTGGTGGAGATTCCCATTTTATTTCGCCTCTGTTTTTTTTTTCGCGTAAGCGGACATCTCTGAACAGGGTCGCAGCAGACTTCAAGGAATGGTGCAGAAACGTATCTCTGCATTTTGTTTGAGCCTTAGTTGCACGCTTCGCATCCGTGAGCGTGAAATGAGGGTTTCCTAACTCCGTGTTCTAGGTTTGCACCGATGAAAATATCCAGAAATGATAATCAAAATTAATCCATTCCGAGAACCTCCCGTACCCGCACCAACCGTAATCTCCCGTACGGACCAGCGCGGTTGAAGCAGATTGCGATATGTTCGCCACCAGCCGACTATCCATCGCAACCCTTTTGAAGTATTTGGGAAAATAACGCATTCCCGGTGGAACATTTCTCGGTGCTAACTTAGTTGGGGGGGGGGCACGCGGCGGCGCGGCAGTCTGCTCACCTGGGCTCTCTCGAGCGAGACAGTGTAAACTCGAACATTCCAGCTTTTCACGCATGTCAAGTGACTGCCCCCACCCCCCACCCCCTAGACTGCCTACACTCCCCCTGGCCCACGGATTTCCGAACATGCCAGGCGAGCAGACTGCCGCGCCGCCGCGTGCCCCCCCCCCAACTAAGTTAGCACCCATTTCTCATAGATTTTTGGCGTTTGCGTCAAACAGGCGTCAAGTGCGATTCTAGAACGGGGAATTCCACGAAATCGGAAGAAGAAAGTGTACAAGTGCTCGGTGAAGACGAGGCCAGAGGACAGCGCTGTCTGCAAAAGTTGCAAAAGACTTCCGAAGCAGCCATCACTAAGGCAAATGATACACAAGTGGGCCCCTTGTACAAACGTGGAGTGCGAAAATGCAGTGAACTGTCTTCAGGCTGCTAAAGCTCGGCACAGTGCATTATCGCTGAATTTCTGATGGGCTCGATTTTAGAATATTTGCAAAAGGGTCGGGGAGTTTTCCGATCAACTATGTGGAAGCAGTGATTGCCTGTCGACCGCCATTGGCATTACCCTAGTGTTTCCTTACCAAAAATATTTCAATATGTTAACGAGATATTTCAGCCATCTGCGTACACTAAGCGAGATTAATCTCATTTCCAGGTTTTTTGAGCGGCCCTTCATTTTTTATACCGGCGCACCACAACGCACCACTCGGCACCACTCCAGCTTCCGCTACCGTACGCATCAGCTTATCGCAGTTGCTCCTTTGAAGTCCTAGGACGTAGGTTTTGAGCGGAATGGCCCGTGACTCCCCCAGAGTTCACCGGTAGGCTTAGCGAGGCAGGCCCCCCCTAGGTTCTATCTTCAAAAAAAGAACGCATTGAGTCTCAATACTCCTGACGTTTTTTTTAATGCGGGTGAAGCGGTAGCAATGCTAGACTTGGAGCTACCGCTCATGGCTGAGAAAATCACAACTCTGACAGCAGGCGTCAGGCGTGTAAATTAGATAGAGCCGACATCAATACCTTAAACTCTGAACGAGTTTGAATGTTCTGGTGATTGGCGCAATGGAAGAAGAAAAAAGCACCAGGTAAATGTGTGGGTAGCACCAATTAAGATTTATGTTGATTGATCAAACACAACCAAAAATTAAATAGATTTACTTCCAAAGAGCGCAAAAGTTTACATCAAAGGACAATCAAAGATGAATATAAATGAAATTCGTCGTAGCATCTAATTGTAGAGATAACAGAAAAATAACCACATGTCGCATAGCTTAACAGTAAAAATATGCGATTATCTTTAAGTAACTTCAGAGAAGATCATCACGATTCACAATGTGTGAGCTTACAATACGCAAGATTTGGAGGGTAGTGAGGGAGAGAAAATGCTGAATCCCTGGATTGTAATAAGATCGCCACAGCAAAATCTGCTACAGCATTCGGACTACACCTACACCTCCCCCAGATCGTCTGGAAATACATCGTTAAATAGACATCGAGAAACTATCTAACTATATTATATGAACGACAACTAACCCATTGTTCATGCAACTGTGAATTATCCACTGATTTGCCCTCAGTATCGAAAACTTCGACGGTCGCTAGGTGAGTAACACCATCGAAGCCGCCAACAGCATACAGCTTTTCATTGACAACTGCTGTTCGTACCTATGAATAACGACATTTTATTATAGTACTCCGGTGCAACTGGGTAATGATAAATTTGAGCAGACTCACACCAGATCGCTTGCTCTTCAATTCAACCACAGCAATCCATTCATTGGTGCGCGGATCGTATTTCTCAACAGAGCCCATTGGTTGTTTCTGGCTGTTCTGACCTCCCACTGCATACAAGTAGCCATTGAGCACTGCTGACCCCAAATGACTTCGATGTATTGGTAACTGACAAACGAATTCCCATTTACCAACTCGTGGATCAAGTCTGAAAAAGCTTGGAATGCCACATTATTCTTCAATTTCTTTTCTGCTCGCTCTCACCAGGCAAATGATTGTAATAATTTATATACCCTCGCCTTCAAATGACCAGAAATTGTGCAATTGCAGAAATTGACGTGGCATTAACGTGGCATCGATTCAAGAACATCTTTGAGCACACGTGATGTCACCTTTTCATCGAGAATTTAGCCACGTGTGCCAATGCCACGTCAATTTCTGCAATTGCACAATTTCTGGTCATTTGAAGGCGAGGGTACCTACAGTCGATATCCGAAAGTTGGGGTGGGTGTGTCACCGGAAGTGACGTGCACTTGATAGAAGTGCGTGGATAAGCTGTTGCCAGCATGCTTTGCTGATATCCAGCGATGTATGTTGGAAGCAGCTTATCCACGCAGCTTCTATCAAGTACACGTCACTTCCGGTGACACACCCACCCCAACATGCGGATATCGACTGTATGTACAGTAGCGTTCAAAAGTAATTACCGAAAAGGTTTTTCGCGCTTCCCTTTTTTTTGCCAAAAAAAATCATTGGTGAAATCCAAAAAATTTTCTTTTGTATATCCTGATTCTTTGAGAATTGAGCATATAAAACACTAGAAAACACAGTATATCAAGTATTTGGAGGGCGTTGCTCAAGGGAGAAAAATAATGCACTGAAAATCGTTTCGGCGAACACTTTTGACCGCTACTGTACACTCCCCTTCAAAAAGCTAGAAAGTGTCCGGTGCAGACCAAACACCACAACTGACGACAACCCTCATAAAATGATAATGTTTTCTGCCAGTGAAATGTGTATGCTATCTACCATCACTAATTACAACTATCATTTGCAAATCAGCTGTCACTATGAACAACATCTAACCAGATTTACTTGGAGGCCGTCGTCACTTGTGGTGTTTGGTCTGCACCGGACACTTCCATCGATTTGAAAAGGTGAGGGTATATTATATTTTATATTATATATATATATATATATATATATATATATATATATATATATATATATATATATATATATATATATATATATATATATATATATATATATATATATATATATATATATATATATATATATATATATATATATATATATATATATATATATATATATATCCTACTATATATAATTCGCTAAGTATGTCTGTCTGTGTGTGTGTGTGTCTGTCTGTACGTACGTCCGTCTGTCACGAAATTCATAGCGCGCTTCGCTGCAGGCATGGAACGCTGTATTTTGAGTATGGTGTAGGGGGTGGGACGGCAACATATTTGGTGGGGTTTATAAAGTGATACCGACTGATAAGATCTGATAAGAGGCGCCAAAACGCCAATTTCATGATATTCATAGCGCGTGTCCCAGCAGTGGTGGGGCGTTGGTTCCAAGAAGTGATGTATAGCGTGGGACGAGAACATGTTTGGTGGGGTACAGGAAGTGATAAGGGCTGATAAGGGTTGATAAGAGGCGCTGGAATGCAAATTTCATAAAATTCATAGCGGGCATCCCAGAACAGTCGGGCATTGTCCAAGATGTGATATACAGAGTGCGACGGGA